ATCGGTTTAGAGAGTGTTAGGGTTAGGCTTATGAGGTTAGGGTTTGGGTTAGGACTAGCTTATGACGCAATGCAGGCGATCCGGACAGTTCCGAAAGCAAATTCATATTCGAGTCAGAAATATAATATAAAGTGCATTTTTTCGTCAACTTTTTTTTGCGTGCCACCGGACATTGTCTTCAGACTGGTTAGGTTTTGTCCGGCGCAAATTCTGGTTGTCTCGGACAACCGGACAACTGCTTATTTCGAGCACTGCCGTAACAAACACACAAACACCAAACACGACAAACAACTACTCAAAAACACGCCGCGTGAAAACATTACGCATGGTAACAACCCTGTACAATTTTACCTGAGAGTGGACTGATCAACTTGTTTTAATGAAAAGTGTCAATGCACTATTAGCTGCCCCTTTGCGGTGTTGATAGAAGAGGAGGATATTTTAAAATTTAGTAAGCGTTTCATTTATGACAGACCGAATACGTGATACAATGTCCTTATTTCCCTGTTTTATACTATTAGAAATTTTCAGCAGTTTTGATGCGAAAATAAATGATTTCAGATCTGAAAGTCTGAAAATCTAGGTAAGATGATGGCCCGCTATGTATAAAATGATCGCATTTTGTTGTAGGTAGGTATGGTAGATAAATTTAACATAAATCGAATGAATCTAGATCGCATGCCATTTTCATTTTTTGCCAAAAAGTGGGCTGCGTGGCCTCGAAAGTAGCTGCCTCCAAAATAGAACGTGCAAATCTCTCCCATGGGAGTAAAAACTGTATTGCCAATACGGAAAATGTGGTGTCAAATGGTTATCGTTGACAGTAGCCAAATGTTGACGGAGCGGACAGACAGAAACGGGAACGACACCCCCATGGCAATAGCTATCTGACGATGTTCAATGCGGAGGCTAAAATGCCCAGCTATGTACAGCTAACACGGCTGAACCACCGGCTCCGACGCGCCGGCTGTTTTTGACAAATGATTTATTGGCCCTTCAATCAATTGCGGCATCTTGCGGTGGGCTGGTGCTAATTTCGTGCCCTGCTGGAGGATAACTCTCAGCGTGGGCATGGCCACGCATCCGTCCAGCCATCACACGCATCCCTTAATATCGGGCACGCAGCAGATAATTAGTAGAAACCCTGACAAAGCTGCATCTGACGCTGTGCTGCTGCGAGTGTGATAACCACCAGCCATTATGAGGTGACGTCTCTCCCATAATCTATGTAACCCTTCATCGGGGGTCGAAATTAACTTTTGAACACGGGAGTCCAACGGGACGGACTCCCTACCCTCAAAAAGAGGGAGTCCGCAGTCTAAAGTTCAAAACTAAACATATTAACAATAACATGTGCTTATTTTTAAGATTCATGCGGTTGCAGGTCTGCAAAATTAATGCGTTGCCCACCATTAATGAGGTCTCTCCCAATAATTTATATAACCCTTCATTCTACTCGCTGCTACGTGCGAATCAATAACCATTGGATTGGATTGTAGCAAGAGTAGATAATAACACAAGAGTGAGACACCCGATTCCTGCATTTTTAACCGATTTTTCTATCAATTTTGGCCACCAATTAAATGCAAGTGTATTACGTTCCTCCGCTTATTATCACACTAATCACTACCTTTGTGGTACTGGATATTGCGTTTACATTATTATTTGCTAGCGGCATTGCTGTAAATCTTAATCTTGCACGAGCCTTTTAATTCCACAATTTACCCGTATTGTGTGAGGTGTTTTAAAAGTACGAATTATTGAAAGCTATAGTGCCGCCAATATTTTAGCACAGACTGTTTCCAATCATTCCGTTGCCCCCATTAGGGTTGAGAGCACAATCATAATATTTCGAATTTTTGATCTCGTGTGAGGAACCGCCACAGAGTGCTATCAGTTATTGTGATCGCAACACAAACAATTTACATAACTATCTTACATTTTTACTCTTAAGTTATAATTACGAATGAATAACAATCTTCTCTGGTAGTGTTTGCCAGTTAGTATTCACATACGCACGCGCCAGGTAATCGAAGCCTACATTAAACCCCTATCGGCGGCACAATGATTTTTGGAAACAGTCCGTGCCTAAAATATTTGGGCACTATAGGCTTTCAAAATTCTGTCTTAACACTCACACATAGTGGTAAATTTTTGGGAATTAAGCTCGTGGCAAGATGAAGATTTACAGCAATCGCTAGCAAATATATGTAAAAGGAATATCAGATACCACAAGCGTGAGTGATTAGTCGGTTTCATTAATAAGCTGAGGAACGTATACACTTTGCCTTCTTTATGGTGGCAAATTTTGATTGCAGAAAATCAGTTACAAATGCCGGGAAATCGCGTGTCTCACTCTTGTGTTATTATCTACTCTTGATTGTAGCGAATGCAGGGATTGTAGTTGATGACACGGTTGTAGCGATGCCACGGGATTGTAGCGATTGGCATGGATTGTATGCGCATGCACGGATTTGTAGCCGATTGATGGATGTTAGCAATGTAGGATCTGTAGCGATGCAGGGTTGAGCGATTGCACGCGATATGTTAGCGATGTCGGATGTGTAAGCGATGCAGGGTTGTAGCGATGTACGGATTGTAGTGATGTTCAGGGATATGTGTAGCGATGTTGGATTGTATTCGATGCAGGG